GGGCAGGGACAAAGCCAAAAAGAAAGACCAGTGTGGGAGGACTAGGCACCAGGAACCAACTGGGCTTGAGGATACCTGGGGGAGGGGCAAGACAAAGAGTCAAAGACAACTTCTGAACTTCAGCCTGTGTGACTCGGTGCTGGGGTGATGGCACTGAAAAGGAAAACACTGGGCAGCAAGTTTTGGGGGAAGAAGAGTTCAGTTTGACACACATGAAGTCAGAGTTGACAGCGTGGAGGTGCTAGCCAAGACGGCACCGTGCAGCCGGTCTTGAGAAGCGTGGGTCGGAGCTGAGGACAGGGACTTGACCATGAGAAACCAGGAGGGCGCCCAGTTTGGTGCGGGCTGCCCGAGGTGTTAAGCATCTCGGGCAGGTTCAGCATCTCTGTTTGAACAGGGCTGGGGCCTCTCTTCGCTAGGGGACCGTGTGTGTTCTGCTCGGTCAGCTGTGCCACTTGGATGCTACCTTTGTCCTTCAGTTTATGTACTTTCAGTTGCAATGCTGATCTGGCCTAATCCTGCTCGCCTTGTGAGCCTTGATGGGGTCAAAGTCCCCTGGGGTAGCGAGCAACAGGAGGACACTTGGTTTTATATTTGATGAAACGGAGACACCTAACATGGGCTGTAGGGGAGGGGGACAGAGTTGTGGGGGGTGGGGAGAGGGGACCAGGCTTGTGCCTGGTGCCTCCCACCCCATCGTCTGAGGGCCCACCGGGGGCTCCAAGGCTCCCATGTTCTCGGCTGCTCCCTGGAGTTTCAGGGCTGCTTTTCTCCCTCTCTCTTCCACGTATGCCTGTCCAGAGAACCCTTTGCTCAGGACGCCCCTGGTCCTTAGTCGGGGCCCGCAGATTAATCAGACAAATTAAGCTCCATCACCGTTTTACCCTTCCCGCTTTTCTCTCAATACAGTAAGTGCTGCCGGCCATTTCAGGCCCACGCTCCGGGCCAGGCGTGGGAGATAACGCGTATGAACAGGTCAGGTCATACCCAAAAGAGCTTGAGCCACGAGGCCCCGAAGTGCAGTGAAGGCTATTTTCAGGCAGGGTGAAAAGCACACCGGGTTGATGGGGGGCGCCTCATTCCCTTTGTGCAGGGCTGACCTACCCCCCATTTCCCACCCGAAACTGTTGCATCAAAACACGCACATACATAATTTATTTACCTCCCCATTCTCTAGCATGCCAGTCAGGAGCCAGTGCGAGAAAAAGAGAAAGGAATAAAATGAGTGGAAGCATGGTGAAGGAAGGGCTCAGCTGGTTCAGGAAGACTTCTGATTATTGTCGTTAATGTTCAAGAGAGTTCCAACCTGATGCGGCACTAAACGGGCAGACTGATTGTGTGTGTGTGTGTGTGTCTGTGTCTGGACAAAAGCATATTAGGAAAATGAGACATTTAGACAAAGTGGCCAGTCGGTGCGAGAGCTGGGAAAAATTCCCTGTCCAGCTGGTTATCTAACAGACACCCGACGCTGGTTTGCTTCCTGAAGGTCAGTGCAAGGAGGAAAGGCCAGGGGAATGCAGATATTACCATAAAGTGTGCTCAGTTCGGAGCAGCTTGGCTGCCCTACACAGTTCCCTCGTTATAAATTCTGCTGTTAAACCTTGCATTGCAGGGAGACTGCTACTGAAGCTCTCTCGGAGAAGCTGCATCGTGTGCTTTGCAGGGAAAAAACCCCACAGCAGAATTTGGGTTATTTTGTTGTTTCCAGGCTACTCGTCCTCCAAACTGAAGGTGTATTTCAAGAAGGGATTAGGAGCTTGTTAGCTGGACAGAGATCACTGGAGGCAGGGCTAATACCCGGAGCGCTCCAAAACGCTCCATTTACTGCAGCAACATCTAATGGCCAGAGGAAGCACTGCATGTTCTCATTGAAAATGCAGCCTGTGGTTCTATCTAGTGAGTTACTTTTATTTTTTATTTTTTAAAAGATCTTATTTATTTATTTGACAGAGAGGAGATCACAAGTAGGCAGAGCGGCAGGCAGAGGGAGAGGGAAAAGCAGGCTCTCCGTTGAGCAGGGAGCCTGATGCGGGACTTGATCCCAGGACCCTGGGATCATGACCTGAGCTGAAGGCAGCCACTTACTCAACTGAGCCACCCACGCACCTGAGTTACTTTTTTTTTTTAAAGTAGGGTGGACAAGGTATTATTATATTTATTAATGCCTGTAAAATCATACTTGGCCGCCACCCTAAGAATTCACTTCCTATCACCCTTTGGATGATATTTATGATGTTATCATAATTGGATGCTGATCATATTTTATGAAAACCATGTAATTAGCTCTTTGGGATTTTGAAAAAAAGATTTTATTTATTTATTTATTTGACAAAGAGGGACACAGTGAGAGAGGGAACAGAAGCAGGGGTAGTGGGAGAGGGAGAAGCAGGCTCCCTGCCCAGCAGGGAGCCCAATTCGGGGCTTGATCCCAGTACCCTGGGATCATGACTTGAGCTGAAGGCAGATGCTTAATGACTGAGCCACCCAGATGCCGTGGGATTTTTTTTTTTAATAACCATCATGACTTTGCATTTATTTTAAAGCTTGTTGTTGAAGCTATGAGTATCTATTGCAAGAAGGTTTCCATACCAGGGAAGAGATGATCAAGTTTACTCCCAAATACTCACTTCTAGGGTATCTTACTCCAGTTTATAGTAGAATGTTGTGGTTAAAAAAAAATTGAAAAGTGTTATTAATCATTGCTGATGATTGCTGAGGAGATGAACCACTCCCTCACAGATGGTGCAAGTGTAAACTTACAGCCTTTCTGGGGTGCACAGTTCATTGAGAGCCTCAGAATTATATTTATCTTTTTTAAAATTTATTTTAAGTGGGCTCCATGCTGGGCGAACTCATACCCTGAGATCAAGACCTGAGCTGGGATCAAGAGTCAGGTGCTTCGGGGAGCCTGGGTGGCTCAGTCGGTTAAGGGGCTGCCTTCGGCTCAGGTCATGATCCTGTAGTCCCAGATTGAGCCCCGTATTGGGCTGCTTCTCCCTGTGACCTTCCCCGCTCTTGTGCTCTCTCACACACTCTCTCTCTCTCAAATAAATAAATAAAGTCTTAAAAAAAAAGTCAGATGCTTAACCAACTGAGTCATCCAGGTGTCCCAGAACTCTTTTTATCTTGTTAACTCTAAGTCCATTTGTAGGAATAAAGCTGAAGGGTGCCATCACAGATGTGAGAAAAAAAAAATACAGGGGTTTTCACTGCAATGTTATCATACTGATGAATAAGAAATAGCCTAAATATTTAAAAACTGAAAAATTGTTATTTATGGCACAGTGGAGGCAGAGATGGATGTTACGCAGCCACAAACCGAGGAATGCTTAGGGCAACTAGAAGCTAGCAGAGACAAGGAAGCAACCTCCCCTACAGACTTCAAATGGGGCACGGCCCTGCCGACACCCACGTGTTAAAATTCAAGCCAGCAGCACTTTGTGAGAAGAAATCATTGTTTTTTTTTAAAAATACCCATGGGACATCCATACTGTGGACTATTACGTGAAAATCTAAAAAGGTATTCTCAATACTTGATGGCCTGGGGCAATAGTGGAAATAAATAGGATACTAATTTATATACGGTGGGAACACAATTTTGAAAACAACAAACTCTTCCATAGACATGTATCTCACCTATTCATGCACATACATATGTACCTGTTCACACATACAAGTATGCAGAGAAACTATTAATCATTGTGCATAGGTGTTGGGTTTATAAGTAATTTTTTTTAAGATTTTTTATTTATTTACTTGACAGACAGAGATCACAAGTAGGCAGAGAGGCAGGCAGAGAGAGTAGGAAGCAGGCTCCCCGCCAAGCAGAGAGCCCAATGCGGGGCTCGATCCCAGGACCCTGAGATCACGACCCAAGCCGAAGGCAGAGGCTTAACCCACTGAGCCACTCAGACGCCCCAATTATTTTCTTTTTTATACCTTTCTGTGTGTCCCAAATTTTCTATAATTTATGTGCATTACTTCTTTTTATTGTGGTAAAACATTCATACTACACTTGATATTAGCCAAAAGGCCCAGAAGTGATTGTGGTAAAACATTCGTAACATAAAACTGACCATTTTAAGGGTAAGTACATTACTTTTAACATTAGGAATAATAGGGGTGCCTGGGTGGCTCAGTCAGTTAAGCGTCTGCTTTTGTGGTGCTCAGGTCATGATCCCAGGGTCCTGGGATGGAGCCCCACATGGGACTCTGCTCAGTGGGGAGCCTGCTTCTCCCTCTCCCTCTGCCCCTTCTCCCCTATCATGCTGTCTCGAGGCATCTCTCTCTCTCAAGTAAATAAAATCTTAAAAAATTGGGAATAATGGTTTTTGTGAATAGATGTGCACTAAGCAGGTGCTAAACTTACATCTACATTATAATTACAATAATGTGACCATCGTTTGTTTGGACCAAGGACAGGAAATGAATACAACCTGGAGAGATGAAGTGAGATGGATGGGGGGGTAGAAGAGTTGGGGGATCATTGTGATGTGTTAATTGTTCTGAAAGCAGTTTTTCTTTATAGGTTGAGATCAGCCCTTTCAGACTTTTCAGTGCTGAGGAAGGAGAGGCCCAAATCTAGCCAAGAAAGCCGCAAGGGGAAGCCAGGGGTAGCCGAGCCAGCAGAGAGACAAGTTAGAAGTTAGAGTCTCTTTCACTGAGACAGCTTTAAGGAAGAGAGGAAAGAAAAGTGGGCTTCATCTGGAGGCTTCATCAAAGACCTAAAAAAGCAGAGTATGGGAACAGGGAGTCTGCTTGGGCTCGAGCCAGCAGCCTCGAGTTTAGAAGCAGAACTGCCAGTGGAGAGAGAGTGTGTGTGTGTGTGTGTGTGTGTGTGTGTGTTGGGGGGGTTGCATCATATTTGTGTGAGCTTTCACGAGCTCCCTGGAAACCTGGCATCACCCACGGTCACTGTACTTTGCAGCTGCTACCGCCCCCAAGCACAGCAAGGCATCCCTCCTACCTGATGTCCCCTGCTCCCCCAAGTAACTCCTCACCTGCATCTTTCTCTTCACTGTGTCGAAAGGAAAGGAGAGGGTCTGGGTTACGGCAGCGGCCAGGCAGACATTGACGAAGTTCTGGAGGGGTGAGAACCGATCTCGGGGTCCATTCCAGAGTTTCTCCAGGTTCATGTAAACTAGAAGGGAGCCAGCAGAGAAGGGCAGAGCACCTGCGAAAAGAAGGCCAGGAAGAGGCTGCTGCTGTCTCCAGCGCTGCTGGCTTGAAAGCACAAACGCTTTGGGGAATCCCAGGCAAGTAAACAGGACTGGCTCCGGGCTCATTAAAAGCACTCCAGCCAGAGCTGCCCGAAGCAATTTTTCTTCGGTGACAATAATGTGCTTCCTTTCGATAGGGGGTGTGTTATCTGTCAAAATGCATCAAACAGTTCACTCAAGGTTGGTGCACTTTGCTGTATGCAAATTTTACTTTACAAAGAACCGCAAACAAATATCGAACTCTAGTTCGGGAGACACATGTTCAACGGTGGAGGGGTGGAGGGCATTGATGTCAGCAAATTACGTGGAAGTCATCCAGAAATATGTAAGATGGACCGATGAATGGCCAGAGGGATGGACACGTACATGATAAAGCCATGTGTTAACTGGAGCGTCCGGATGGTGGGCATGTGAGTGTTTTTGATTCTTGTAACTTCTAAGTGTAGTGTCAGAAATTTTTTAAAAAATAAAATCTTGGGGAGCACCTGGGTGGCTCAGTGGGTTAAAGCCTCTGCCTTTGGCTCAGGTCATGATCCCGGGGTCCTGGGATCAAGACCCGCATTGGGCTCTCTGCTCAGTGGGGAGCCTGCTTCCCTTCCTCTCTCTCTGCCTACTTGTGATCTCTGTCTGTCAAATAAATAAATAAAATCTTTTAAAAAAATAAAATAAAATCTTGGGCCGGGGGGAGATCACTCTCATAGAGGAAATAGGGAGTGGCACTTCACCAGGTTTCCAAGGCTAGGAGGGACTGGTCTCTGGCTGAGGAGGAGACAGTCTGTGCGAACTAGAAAGCGAGACTGTTCTGGTGAGCGAGGGCACTTGACCTTGCTTTGGGGAATGATGTGGCCATATCAGGGTCCAGGAAAAGATGTCAAGTAGGTAGTGCAGTTTTCAAGAAACTTCCAGAAACTTTGGGAGCTATCTTAAGTTTACAGAGGAGCTAAATTTCTCTGTCGAAATAAGATTTAAAAGAGAGGCTAGCATCAGAGGCTAGCATCAGCTAACTTTATCTTGAGGAAAAGGCAGTATCTATTTAATAAACACATTGCAAATGAAGTACCAACCCCCCTGTTTACCTTCATTCAGAAAATATTTGTGGAGTTTATGTGATGTGCTCGGCCCTATGCTGGGTGCTGGGAATACAAAGAGCCATAGGCTGATTCCTGGAGGAGACAGACAGCTGATGTGTGTGCTAATTGGCCAGGGTGGGATGGCGGTACAAAGTGCTTTAAGCACACAAGGACCAGAGGGATTAATTTTACCTAGGGCATCAGGAAGGACTTCACAGAAGAAAAAACTTGCCCACTGGGTCTTGAGGATTGAGCAGGAGTTCACCAGACATTGGGAGAGCTAACAGTCAGTCCAGGCAGAGGGAACAGCAGGTGCAAAGGGAGTGGTGTTTCCAGGAAATTGCAAGTGTTTCTGGATGGCTGGGGCATGAGTGCCAGTGGAGGGACGGCAGGAGGTGAGGGGGGCCGGGCCGACCGGGGCCAGGTATGAAGGATCTAATGGTGCGTCATAAGGAATTTGGGCCTTTCCCTGTATCTCAGGAGTCAGGGAGGGCTGGAACAGAGGACAGAAGAATGAGGGTGGTGAAATGACCGACTTTGGTTTCAGAAGGTCACCAGGCCCTGGCAGCAGTGCCTGGGACTGGGACCCTGTAGAAACCTCTTGTAAGTGTCTGTGGGAAGCATGAGGATGAGGGCAGAGGGAGGTGGGGAAGGAGGAGGGCAACAGATGGAAAGTGGAGTGGTCAAACTGACAGTACTTGGTGCTGGAAGCCGGAAGCCAGAAGCCACAGCGGAGAGAGAAGAGGAGCTGAAGCAGTTCTAGGTTTCTTCCGGCTTGGGCCACTGGGTGAAAGGCAGGTGGTCGCGTTCTTTAGGGAACCCAGGAGGAGCAGGTGTGAGCCTAACGAGGACGTCAGGTTTAGTCTCGAGCTGGATGTGCCCCGGGAGCAGCAGGTGAAGGTGTCCAATAGCAGGTACTCGTCCTGCCATTGGGAATTGGTAGCAGTCAGTGGTTAAGACAGAGGGCTCTGGAGTTACATCGCTAGGTTCTTCCGCTTCCTACCTATGTGATCTCGGGCAAGTCCCTCAGTCCTCAGTCCCTGAGCATCTACTTCCTTGTCTGTAAGCTGAGGCTTCAGTGGGAAACTACGCCAGGCGTTCAGCACGGTGCAGGGCACAAAGAGGGCACCAGTAAATGGTAGTCACTGTTGTTACAGAGGTCGGGAGTCCTTAGAGTATTATGATGCTTGGTTAAGCCATGAGCTTAGCTGAGGCCACCTGGGGTGGGGATGGAGGGTGAAAAGAAAGCCAAGGAAGGAGCCCGGAGGGAACAGTGACACGTGGGGGGCTAGCAGCATCAGATCAGCCGGATAAGACAAAGCTGCCGGAGAGCTGGGAAAGACATCCAGGAGTTGGTGGGCTCCTAGAAGCCAGGCTTCCAGGAGAAGGGGTGGTCAGTCTCATTAGATGCTGCAACAAAGGTCTGATATGAGGTGAGAGTCTGCCGGGTTTGGCAACTGGGGGACTCTGGTGACTCGTGCATGTGTGGTCTTGGCAAAGGTTCCAGAGACCATGGAAGGTATGCTTGCTACCTGGTTGTACTCACATATGTCTGTATGCAGGCTGAGTCTCTTTCCTGCAGTCAGATGGGGTGTGTGGGATTATCTTCCTATCAGTTTGGGCTGAGCCACCTTCACTCTCCCTTCCTCCCCTCCCTGGGATGTGACTGGCCAAAGTTAGGAGCAGGGTAGAGGGTATGTGGCTAAGGAATAGAATGAAGCTAATTGGCTCCACATGGATTGAATCCACAGGAACTTGCCCTTAAAAAACCACATTTAACTGGTTACAAACAAAGGTATACAATATTCATCTATACCAAAGAACACAACCTTTCCTTGGACAAGGTGAAAAGTTCCATCTTACCTAGAACAGTAAGGGAAACCCCTCGATACAGGGCTAGGAACCCTTCCTGTTGATAAACAGTAGAAAAAGCATGGAGGATCCCTCTGTAAGATGGTTCCAGCAAGTTCTGCACAATCAACCGGGTTTTGATGAGGTCTGTAGGGTACATCACAATGGTGGAAACCATGCCTGCAAGACTCCCAGCCATGATGGAGCTCCACTGGGAAATATGGCCCAGGTCATCCGTGAAGAGTATGACAAACCTAGGAGAAAAAAGGAGGAAAAACCCAAGAGAATCAGCTCTGGATTGTGCCTGAGTGTTCTATACCACTTCTTACAGTATCTCCCAGCATTTGGAAATGTTTTACAAAGTGAAAATTTCTATATCAATGTATTAGGATTCATGAATAGCACATTCAATTCTACTATCTTAATAGAATTTCGTGAGCTATAAGGAGATGCCTTTGTTCTTTATGTCTACCTTAAGTTCTTCCCACTTCATTTTGAGCATTTCCCCCTTTATCTGTGTAACTCTCAATCCTGGCTTGCCGGTGGGGTATAAATGAACAGGAGTACTTGGCAAATACTGAACTAGAATGTGCTCCTTTGGTTCTCTTGAAACTTAAAAGAAATGAAACTGCATGAAGTGATGACTTTGAGCATCCTCAGTAACTAAGGTTTCTTTTTGTTTGTTTGTTTTGAAGCCTCTATGTCCAACGTGGGGCTTGCACTCACAACCCGAGACCAAGAGTCTCATGCTCTACCAACTGAGCCAGCCAGGCGTCGTGCCCCTCCCTTCCCTCCCAGTAATTGAGTTTATTTATTTTTATTTTTTAAGATTTTATTTATTTATTTGATAGAGAGAGTATGAGAGAGAGCATGAGATGGGAGAGGTCAGAGGGAGGAGACTCCCCATGGAGCAGGGAGCCCAATGTGGGGCTCGATCCCAGGACTCTAGGAACATGACCCGAGCTGAAGGCAGACGCTCAACCAACTGAGCCACCCAGCGCCCTCCCCCTACCCCGCCCCAATAATTGAGTTTAAAAAATATCTTGGTTTGGACGCCTGGGTGGCTCAGTCAGTTAAGCATCGGATTTCGGTTCAGGTCATGATCCCAGGGTCCCACTGAGCCTGCATAGGAGTCCCTGCTCAGCAGGGAGTCTGCTTCTCCTTCTCCTCCTTGCTCTGCCCCTCCGCCTGCTTGTGCTCTTTCTCTCTCTCAAATAAATAAATAAATAACATCTTTAAAAATATGGACTGGTTTAACAGTTATAAGGGAAGATGCGGCACCCCTGCTAGTTCCCTGGGAAATGACCAGTACAAACAAGATACCACTTCTCACCCAGCAGACTGGCAAAGATGAAAAAGTCTGACAGTATCAAGTGATGGGCAGGACACGTGGAGATGGAGATGGGAGTGTTCCCATCGCTGGCAGAAATGTCAATTGGTCCAGCCCCTTTGTAGTATCTAGCACAACTGAAAGAATGCCTCCTTTCACCCCAGCCATTCCATTTCTAGGTACACATCCTAGAGGAGCTCTTGCCCACGCACACGTGCAGACAGTACAACATTGTGTGTTCGTGTGAAAAGTCAGACAACCTAAAAGTCCATTCGTAGGGGAATGGGTAAATTAGAGCAATCGTACAACTACAGCTTCAATGAGTTTGAGGCTAGGTATTCATACGGATAATCCTAAAAGCATAAAGTTGAGCGAAAACAGTAAGCTGCAGCGTGACCTACAGTGTATGACAACCATCTATTTAAATGAAGAAACATACCCATAAAAGCATACCTTGTATTATTCATGGATGGATATAGCTACGTATTTTAAAAAGTGTCAACAGGGATGCCTGGGTGGCTCAGTGGGTGAAGTGTCTACCTTTGGCTCAGATCGTGGTCCCAGGGTCCTGGGATCGAGCCCCTCGGCGGGCTCCCTGCTCAGCGGGGAGTCTGCTTCTCCTTCTGTCTCTCACCCTGCTCTTGTGCTCTCTCAAATAAATAAATAAAATCTTAAAAAAAAATAGAGAAGTATTAAATAGGCCCTCGGGAAGATGGAGGGGGGAAGGGAATCGGAATGAACGGGACTTCTTTCTCTGGAACCTTTTATTTCTTTGTATTAAAAAAAGATACTTGAGGGGCGCCTGGGTGGCTCAATGGGTTAAAGCCTTTGCCTTTGGCTCGGGTCATGATCCCAGGCTCATGGGATCGAGCCCTGCATCGGGCTCTCTGCTCAGCAGGGAGCCTGCTTCCTCTTCTCTCTCTGCCTGCCTCTCTGCCTACTTAACGATCCCTGTCTGTCAAATAATAAAATCTTTTAAAAAATTGTTTTTTAAAAAAAGATACTTGAAGTATCTTTTATGCTGTCTTTCATGCTGTTACTTCAGGATGGTGGGTACATGGGCACTCTTCTTTGTGCTTCTTTACAGCGTTATAATGGCTTTGGTGGACTTTTCCAAATGCAAGCCAGGAAGACCGTTGCGGTCCCTCTTTTTGGAAGCAGTCAGGACCAATCTCGGCAGAAATTGTTCAAAGGGCACTTTTACATGGTACACATTCCCTGCCCAGGAGGCAAAGGAATTTTACTCCTTGCTGATGAGGACAAAATCAAGAAGGGCTTGGAAACCAGGAAAAATAGTATTTTCTACTAGAGAATGGGATAGGGAAGAGGGAAGGAATAGTGAGGGTTTCAGTAAAAGGAAAATGAACAGGGCTAGGCTTAAAAAAAAGTATTATATCTTTTTCAAGATTTTATTTATTTGAGAGAGCAGGAGAGCACACACAAGTTGGGGGGGAAGGGTAGAGGGAGAGGGAGAAGCAGACTCCCCGCAGAGCAGGCAGCCGGATGTGGGGCTCCATCCCAGGACCCTGGGCTCATGATCTGAGCCGAAGGCAGAAACTTAAAGACTGAGCCACCCAGGCACACTGTATCTTTTCAGACCATCCCCGGTTCTCTGGTTTTCAAGTCTCCCATAAAGAGGTGCATGTCCTGTTCCTTCAGCCTGGCAGCAAGCCCGGGCCCTCTGTGTGATAAATAAGACACGTGGGTATTCAGGTGAAATCATTTAAGGAGTCCTAGGACCAACCCTTTGCTCCCAAGTAAACACTCAATGATCACAAGCATGTCTTTCAAGGGGTACCTGGGCGGCTCAGTTAAGCATCTGCCTTCAGCTCAGGTCATGATCTCAGGGTTCTGGGATCAAGCCCCGCGTCAGGTTCCCCACTCAGCAGGGAGTCTGCTTCTCCCTCTCCCTCTGCCACTGCCCCTGCCCGTTCACTCTTTCTCTCTCCAATAACTAAAATCCTAAAAATAAATAAGTAAATAAATAAAAGATAAAAGCATCTCTTTCAAGCTCTAGGAAAGTCTTCATTTTGTCAAACTGTTGTTGACTACTGTTAACTGCACTAATTGAAACAGTCATAAAAGAAAAAAAAAACCAGTCATGAGTTAACCAGCTACTTCTGAAAGATGCAGGTCACTAAAGCTGGGCCTTGCCAATGGGCCACCGGCCTGCCTCACTGCCTGCACGCTTCCTTGTTCCTGCCTTTTCTCTCCCCCGGGGCCAGTCGAGTTGGAGGGGAGCCTGAGGAGGGGCAGGGGAGACAGAGGAAATGGACATGCTTGACTGGCCGGATGGTCTGCAGCCAGTTGGAACAATCCAGATGACGGTGGGAGTCTGAAATGCCAAAGAAACACCGTTCCTTCTCATCGCCTCGCCTTCTTCCCTATCCCACTTGGCCACTTCCAGACTCATTTATCGAACTTCTACTATGCACTATGCACCACACAACTGTGCTCGCACTCAGCAGAGGTCCTAACGGAGCTCTACAGTTGGTGGAGAGGGACAACAGGAGAGGAACAAAGCCCTGGGTTCTCGGAACAACTTGATGGACGAGGAATAGGAACCCTGTCTCACGGCAGGTTGGTTTATAAAGTCGGGTCTTACTATCAAATAGACAAAATTCCAAAGAACCAAAGCAAGTCCTTTCTTCTCAGACTCTTATCATCCGGTAGAGACAAGGACCACCAACCCTTCCTCTGGGAACTGCAGAGTCAAGGCAGGTGACCCTAATAGGCCATCAGTCATCAGTGAAGTCATCCTGCCCCGCCCCGCCCTTTCAGCTCTTGTCTGATTGGCTGGGGTAGCGCTGTTCCCCTTTCTGCTCTTCCCTGCCACCCCCGCCCCCCATGCACAGAAGCTTTTCCCAGAAAGACTGGCTAAGCTGGTGAACAGCAGTAACCCCCTCCTTTCAGCCACAGGCTATCACACACCCCCACCCCGCCCCCACCCCTGGTATCCGGAGTTAGAACTGCCACCCAGCTGAACACGAGCTCCTGGAGTGGTTATACAGTAAGAAAGTGGGGCTGGTTCCGAACTATTCCAGAGCTGCAGGGACACCAACCAATGTCTACACAGCTCGACAAGTAGTTGTCCAGTAAAGCTGGAGGAAGATCCACTGGTCGATGGATCTGACAGCCGGCCGCTGTGTTCCGCTCTATTTATTGCCAGGGCCCAGCTCCTAATAAACTCTACCCAGTGGACTTTTGATCATAAATCCAAGGGAGCAGACGTATCAGCATCACAATGGTGGGCAGAGCCCTGGACTAAGAAGCCAGAAGACCCGTTTCCAGTTCCAGCTCTGCCATTAATTCTCTTTGGGGACAAGTCAATTAATCACTCCATTTCCTGAACATTCTCCATGTTTACGCTTTGTTCAAACCCCCGATCCTAGGCTGTATACCATTACCCTCAGCCAACTGTTTCTGCAAACTCACAGCCAGGAAAGAGTAGAGATGAGTCAGTGTAAGGATGGACCAGTGGTATCATCTCTGTGTAGGAAGGCTAGCACCATGATTAGCCAACCACTTTGCTTTCTATGCCCAGCCATTCACTGAAATACTCCCTTTTAGTTTCCAGGAGGAAAATAATCTCACAGGAAACATTATTAGCAAACTTAGACCTGGGAACTCTTTCTTCCTCTCCCAGTCACCAGCCACCAGTCTGCGTCAGGTGCCCGCAGCTGCCACATGGACCAGTGCAACAGGTTCCTAACTGGCCCAGCCACCCCTGGTCTTCCTCCTCTCTAGTCATCGTACCCTGCCACCAAGTGACAGTAATTCCTGTTGAGTTGCTCTAATCATCACCTCCCCACCACCACCACTGCCTCAAAAATCTCCCACAGCTAACATTGGCCACACTGAACGAAGTCCAAAGTCCTTAACCCGGCCCTCTGAGATGGCATTCCAACCTGCTTTTCTGGCTGGACTTCCCAATGCTGCTGTAGACACACCCTGTGTTCCAGTCCTGCCGCATGCCTGCCCACCTCTGTGCCTTGGCTCATGACGTTACCTATCATCTTTCTATCTTTCTCTCCATCTGTGCCCAGCAAACTCCTACGCATCTCCCCAGACCAAAGCCAGGTGGTTTTCCTCCTCTGTGAGGTCCTCACATCTTCTCCTCCTCCTCAGAAGCGTGAATCTGTTTTCTTTTAAAGATTTCATTTCTGGGGCACCTGGGTGGCTCAAGTTGGTTGGGCGTCTGCCTTTCAGCTCAGGTCATGATCCCGGAGTCCCAGGATCAAGCATGGCATCGGGCTCCCTGCTCAGCGGGGAGTCTGCTTCTCCCTCTGCCTCTCACCCCACTTGTGTTCTCTCCCTCCCTCAAATAAATGAATCAAATCTTTAAAAAAAAAATAAAGATTTCATTTTTAAGTAATCTCTACACCTAATGTGGGGCTTGAACTCACAACCCCGAGATCAAGCTGCATGCTGTACTGAATGAGCCAGCCAGGCGTCCCAGAAACGTGGATTTCTGTAGCACTCAGCCACATGCTGTGGACACAATAATCTTCCATTCTTCTGTTCCTCTGTAAGCCCTGGGGCCCCGGGAACATGCCCCTTTCGTCCCAGCAGGTACTTAAGGAGGCCTGGCTGTTATTAGTTCCAAATGAACACAGAGAGAAACGCAGCAGGGTGTAGTAGAGTTATGGATTTGGAGGCAGAAGGTCAGCTGATGGGGCTCTCAGCCCTATCACTGAGGAATGGTGGGGCCAGTCTGAGCCCAATTCTGTACCTGGAAAATGGGCACGATACTTCCCACCAGATGGACCTTACCGAAATCCAATGATGTGCACACACCCAGCCAAGGGTAACTAAGCGGTGATGGCTATACTGATCAGCTTGATTGCGGTGATCATTTCACCATGTATATGCACAGCAAAACATCAAGTTTTATATACTTTTTTTTATAGGTCAAATATATCTCAATTAGGCCGTTAACAAAACCGAATGATGTATATATACTAGGCGGTGTCGGGGCCAAGGACAGGCCTCCCCCATGATGGGCAGCAATAGTGTGGTGGAGATTATCTTGAGCAGAAAACAATCAAGGCCCAAGACTCGGGCAGAAACTCTGACCTCCCCCCCCAACAGCTTGAAAAGCCTTTAGAGGACCTGCTCCAGGAAGACCATCAATAAAGCAAGAATTAGGGGTGGTAGGGAGGAGTTTAGCAAAGGTTAAAATTCCTCTCTGTTCCCTGTTTCCGAGTGGCCCAGCCAACACTTACCAAACATTTGCTCTCTTTCATCCTGCTGTGTTTTGCATTCCTTCCCTTTGAAGTCCCAGACCCCTACCTCCTCCTCCTTCGCTCAGAAGGACACCTATACCTCCTTTTGCCTGTCTTGGGAAACTCATGTGTGTGTGGATTGCCCACACGGAGGAAATGAAGTTTGATTTTCTCCTGGGAGCCTGTCTCACGTCCATTGAATTCTTCGTCCGACTAGAAGAAGAATCTTGGACAGAGGAAAAGGTCTTCTTCTCAGGCGGTGATTACCCGACCAGCCACAATACTGAAACCCACCTGTAAAGTTTGGTCTCCTAATCCTGGGCCTACATTCCAAAGGCAGATTTCCATACCACCGTGTGGCGAGAACTGTTTACAGACATCAAGCCAGCTAGCTGTTGCTGAGGAGGAAAGAGAGCCTGGAGACAAATGCCTCAGGATCTCCCTACCTTTCCTCCTCAGGGGCAGAGAAGGGAACTCCTCCCCAGCCTAGGTGAAATGTGGGCGGCCAAGAGGACTCAAGTGAGAAGGAAAATTCCATCCAGCTTGTCAGCTGCCTGGTGAGCCTTCCAGCACCAATGGTGAGAATCCTGACTGAGCCTCCAAGGGTTCAACTAGGTGGTGAAACTGTGAGCTGTCTGTCTAATTCAAAGCCAAGGCCAGTCCTCAGAGTTGGCACTGTGCCCACGGAATGAGGCACACAGGGACCCTCCCCTCAAGTCAGAAACATCCTCTCTTCCTGAAGCTCCATCAGTACCATTTCATTCTTCGAGGCTTGTTTCGGTGAAAATGCAAGTATCTCTGAGCTCTGAGGGACCTTTGAAGACTCATCTGGCATTTGCATGTTTAGATAGCTTCGGAAGAAGCAGCTGTTGTTGGGAGAAGGTGAAAAATGCGCAAAGAATGAGGCCAGTGGGCAGAGGGTGGGGGGAGGCAGTAAGTTGGGGGACCTCTGTTGGGCCCTAAAGGCCAAGCTTCATTGGCGGGGGTGGGGGGGAGCTGAAATCTGTGGCCTTTTGTGGCCATGGGTTGCCCTCCCCCGCCCCCCTCCCGCCAAGCACTTTCCTCTGAGGCTTTGCCGACGAAGGCACAATTGCACACACACACCTTCCGAACGGTCTCTCTCCTGAGCCAGCCAACGCAACATTTCCAAGTTAGTGGAGGGTGGAAACGGGCAGGAAGCCGTCCCTCCTGACAGGTCTTCATTCCTTCCCTCCCCCAATCTCCTTTTGCCCCATTCCCCCTCCTCGCCGGTCCAACTCCGGGAGCCTCTCTGCGCCGGGGCCTGCGCTCCGCAAAACGGCACCTGGCGGGTCGGGGAGGCCCCGCAGTGCACCCCAGGGCCTGCGCAGGTGCCGCGTCCTGGCCCGACTGCCCTGAGGGGCTCCCGCGCGATCCGGAAGGAGGCCGCGGCTCGCTGCGAGGCGCCCCCCGCCCCGAGGCCGAGCCCGGGAAGCAGGGCGGTGTCGCCCCCTCCCCGCCTCGCCCCCTCCCCTCCCGGGCCCGCCCCGCCGCGCCGCGCCCGGCTCTTACTTGCGGTAGGCGGCGAGCTGCACGGCGCTGCAGGGGAAGAGGCGCAGGCACGCCACCGCGTTCCCCTTCCACAGGGCCCGGGGCCCCTCGGCGCGCCACACCCGGAGCCCCGCGGCCCACGGCCCCCGGGCCTGGCTCCGCGCGGCGCCGACCTGGGCCAGCACCGTGGCGAGCTCGAGCGGCGCGGTGAGGCTGAGGCTGAGCGCCCCCGCCACGCCCGCGCACAGCAGCCGCTGGCCGCCCGTCAGCCGGCCGTCCCGCCGCCACGTCGCCATCTCGCTCCGGCCGCCAGGGCCCGGCACCCCCCCTCCCCACCCCGACCCCGGGGGACCGCGTGGCTCGGGACTGCGGCTCCCGGCGGGCTCCCGGCGGACGGCCCGGCCCGGCCCGGCCCGGCGCGCCGCGCGGCTCGGGACCCCGCCCGACGTGGGGCGGGCCGCGGCCGGATCGGGAAGCCGGCTGCTCGCCCGCGCGCGGGCCTCGGGGTTGGGGTTGGGGCTGGGGCTGGGGTTGGGGAGGCCGCCCCCGGGCCGAGGCCGCGCCCTTCCCCTGGGCTCTGCGGCGGGCGGCGTTTTGTGAGCCCTGGAGAATTCCAGGCCTCGCAGGCTCTGCTTCTGGCTTCCCGCGTCTTCCGCGCTCCCCGACCCCCCGCCGCCTCCCCTCTCTTGTTTACCACCCTTCCAAGCTCCTTCCACATTCCACCCCTGGCCTGGGCTCTCCTCCCTCCGATCCCAAGAAGCGGCCCAGCCGTGCCAAGTGCGCAGGGCGGGAGGGGAAAAGAAACCTCTCACCCCGCGGCACCTATCTCACTTGTCCAGCATTGGGCTTCCGGTGCGTGAGCTCACTGAATCCTCAGGAGAGCCCTTAATGGGCATGACCTCAGGTACTGCCCTCGGTTGGAGAGGCTCTGGCGGTGGTCTGGACCCTGGAACGTGCCTTGGCATGTTGGCAGCTCACCAGCTGTGTGACCTTGGGGGAGGTCGCTCCAACCCCTCTCTGTGCCTCAGTTGCTTCATCTATAGTTTCTTCCTCTAGGGGTTGTTGTGAGGATTAAATGAACAGTGACACAGGTCAGCCCCAGCAAGAATTTCCGGTCCCCTTCCAGGGCCTTCTAGACTGATTAAGAATCAGATTGACAGGAGGCAGATGAACAGGAGAAAATCAAATGGAATTTTATACACAGGGGGAATCCACACAGACAGTGGACATTTCAAAGACAGTCAGGCAGAACAAGGTATCCGGGTCATCCTGAACTAAAGGACAGGTGGGGAGGGGTTTGGGACTTCACAGAGGAATGTGCTTCCCGGAACAATGAAAAGAAGAGCAGATGTCTGGCGCTGAGATGTGTGCCCTGCCAGACAGATGTGTCACTCAGATAAAATTGATCTCTGGTCATAATCCTTATTCTGGAAAAGACCCCCAGTGTAGATTCTTCTGTGCAGTTAAGGGAGGGGCAAACCCATCTTGGGGCAGCCGGCCAGTGGCCCCTCCAGCACTATGTCCGTAGCTCTGATTAGATACTATTTTGCAGAAGAGGAAGGCAAGACAGAGGGCTTGGCTTACCCTAGGTCACAGCTGCAAGGGGCAGTCGGGATTCAAATCTAGGTTGATTTTACACCAACCAGCGGCTGCGCTACACATCCCCTGTGACTGAGAATGTAACTCAAGCAGGGACCTTCTCAGTGGCCCTGTCCGCTTAAGAGGACAATGGAGGCAAAGAAGGGCTAAGAGTGATTTGGCCAGAGTCCAAGAAGAATTTTGTTAAGTGAAACAGAATTCCAAGTGTCTCCCTGTCTCTGTTTTTGAAAAACCACCTTGATAGTAACAGTGCAAGGGAAAGGGGCCGTGAGCAGTCTGTGAGGGCGAGACACCCCAGGCGCACGGTTGCTTTGAGGCTTATCTGGTTATTTCCTCCAACTGACTAACACACAGGACGATAAAGGAACCTTCTCTAGAAGGTGTCCCAGGGCCCAGATTCACAGGACTGGTTCTAACTCCGGATGCCTAGCTCTGCTTTCAAACATTGGAGAATGCTGACTTTTCATACTTCGTGACTTCTGTCCTGCTGTCAGCGGACTTCCCAGCTGAAAGAGGTTGGAGAAAGGAGGCTTGTGACTGTGGACTTGAAGAGGCCTTGAACTGGAACCTGGGGCCAACAGTACCAGGACCTTCAGGTAGCACTTTGTCCTAAAGCTCCTTTCGCCCTGAGAATGGAAAAGTTGATGCAGCCACCCCATTGTATGGAGATTGGCTCAAGTCCCTTGTTTTCCTTTTGTTGCAAGGCAGCCTGTGTGAGGGGTTCACTGCCCCCATCCTGGGGACCAGGTATGGACATGCTTTTCCTTAGCAATGCTATTCTTTTCTGTCCCTCATGAATAAGATTGTTCCGGTGAACCAGAGGCAAGAACCATTTTTACTTTTCACAGTTCTGGGCCAGGAAAAGTCAGGAGCTGGTGGTTTAAAGTAAAAATGTATATATTTGTTTTGCTATAGGTTCAACAGTTAAAATGAGTAACAGGGAAGTGTATAGTTATTGCCTTCTGTCTTCGTAGCAGGGCGCTAACGGAATGAGGTGTGTTCCTATTCTCAGCGAGAGCCTCATTTATTTGCTAACCATAGAGAACTTATGTATATTGATCTTAAACATAAATCACTTCTGAGCATGTCCCGTATTTAGACGATGCCTTGGGGACTCAGGCTAAGTTTAACTGCTTCTTTTGCACACTTGGTGAAAAGTCGGTGAAGAAACACAGCAGGTTAAGGACCCACAACTTTGAAAAAGGCACAAGATGTGAAACTGGGGTACTCTTAAAAATAAATGTATGAGGGGCTCGTGGGTGGCTCAGTCAGTTAACCGTCTGCCTTCAGCTCAGGTCATGATCCCAGAGTCCTGGGATCAGGTTCCATGTCAGGCTCCCTGCTCAGTGGGGAGTCTGCTTCTCCCTCTCCCTCTGCCCCCCACTCGGGCTCTCTCTCTCAAATAAATAAATAACATCTTAAAAAAATAAATGTGTGATTACTTTAAGAAAACGATGCAGGGGCGCCTGGGTGGCTCAGATGGTTAAGCCTCTGCCTTCGGCTCAGGTCATGACCTTGGGGTCCTGGGATCAAGCCCCCACATTGGGCTCCCTGCTCAGCGGGAAGCCTGCTTCTCCCTCTCCCACTCCCACTGCTCGTGTTCTTTCTCTCTCGCTGTCTTTCTCTCTCTGTCAGATAAATAAATAAAATCTTTTAAAAAATAAGTTAATTTATTAAAAAAAGATGTGGAGGGTAACTTCTTAGTTGGTAGAGCACTAACTCCTGATGGGGGGGGGTGGGAGATTGTAAGTTCGAGCCCCATGTTGGGTGTAGAGATTACTTTAAAATAAAAATTTTAAAAGGAGGCAGGTAATAAAACAAACAAGCTGAGTAGTAATTTAACAGAAGGAGAAAGGTGGCTGGCTGACTGAAGGCACGAGGCCTCCTGTCACCCTGGTCCCGCCTTGGGAGATGCTAACAGTTTTAAATTCAACTGTCATTCTTCACTTTCTCTTCTAAGTAATATCCTTTCTCCACTCTACTGTTAAAAAAAAATCAACCAAATGATCTTGAAGATCTAATTGGCTTTCTTTCTTTTCTTTTTTTTGGGGGAGGGAGAGAGAACATGCATGACAGTGTGAGCAGCTCCCAGCAGAGGGAGAGAGAGAGAATCTTAAGCAGGCTCCATGCCCAGCGTGGAGCTGGATTGAGACCCCTGAGATCATGACCTCAGCTGAAATTAAGAGTTGGACACTTAACCCACAGAGGCACCCAGGTGCCCCTAAGTGGTTTTTCTTTCTTAAGTGATTCTTATTTATTTATTTATTTAACAGAGACCACAAGTAGGCAGAGAGGCAGGTAGAGAGAGAGAGAGAGAGAGAGAGAGAGAGAGAGGAGGAAGCAGGCTCCCCGCTGAGCAGAGAGCCCGATGCGGGGCTCGATTTCAGGACCCTGGGAGCATGACCTGAGCTGAAGGCAGAGGCTTTAACCCACTGAGCCACCCAGGTGCCCCCTCTTAAGTGATTCTTAAAAAAACATTGATTTATTTGAGAGAGAGGGCGTGCACCAGCAGGGGGAGGGGCAGAGGGAGAAACAGGCTCCCCGCCGAGCCGAGAGCGGGACTCGGGATCGTGACCTGAGCTGAAGGCAACGATGCTTAACCGACTGAGCCACCCAGGCACCTCTCTTAGGCGATTCTGGAATAGGCTGCCCTCCCTGTGGCAAGTAGAGAGGCTCATAGGAACTCTATGGAAGTAGAAGGTTGTTCTGGGCAGGAGGGTGGTGTGTGGCAAAAAAGTTATTAGCAAAAGAAAAGAAAGGATTGCAGCTGCTTTTGGGTGGAAGGGAATGGTGGGGTGTTTATCATGCAGATTACATTACTAGTGCTGATAAGGACTTCCAGATTGTTAAAAAAGTCACATTCCTGGGAGAGGTGGAAACTCATTAAATTTGGGCTGGCAGTCCTGGGGTTGGGGGGCACTCCAATTTGCGCTTGCTTTTCTTTTCATTTCCTTTTTTTTTTTTTTTTTTCTGTTTAAACAATACATTGGCTTAGCTGGACTTGCTGATGTTCCTCAGGTTTTAGTTTATCTTGCTATAATTGTACCAATGTTGGTGGATTCCCGCTTTTTTAATTTGTCTTTTATTCTTAAGCCTTACGGAATTTTGCAAATTACAAAAGAAGTAAATAGCTGTTGACACGAAGACAGATGGTACAGTAGTGTGTTCGAGAGAGTTAGGTGCCTCTGCATGTGCTATGGGGCCATTTTCTTCCTGCTCAAATACTCATTTATATGGGGTTTTCCCCTCCCTCCCTCGTGCTCTCCCTCCCTCCCTTCATTCCTTCCTTCTCTTAAAAATGGAGTCACTTATGCTAAACCCCACCAGAACCTGGGGCCTAATCTCACTGCAGCTTCCCCGATTCTTCCAGAAATGTGATCTTTAACCAGACAGCCTGGAATTTTTCTGGTCAGCTGCATTAGGGAGTAATCCGCTGCCCATGGACCCTTCCATTCCCCTTAGGAGGGCTGCCTTGCCTAAAACAATGCGTTCTTTGCTAATAATACCTCCCTACTCACCTCTGCCTTGAAAACCCTTTTCTTTTTCTTTTTTTTTAATTATTTATTTATTTATCTGACAGACGGAGATCACAAGCAGGCAGAGAGAGAGGAGGAAGCGGGCTCTCCACTGAGCAGAGAGCCTGATGCGGGGCTCGATCCCAGGACCCTGGGATCATGACCTGAGCCGAAGGCAGAGG